CTGTCGTCGAGTAGGCTGGTTAGCGTATAAATTGATTATTGACCATAAACCACTCCACCACCCAGCCAGTTTGACCTGACCCGTCGACCTAGACGGGCGCCTGCTGGCTAGTGAGAGGATTGGACTTGGGAGGGTATATGAAGCACTTCATCTTTACTGTGTATTCCGATCCTGAGAGTATTCCGCTCTAAGCTTACATATAATTTCAATGACCCATATCGCAATGACCCTCAACATGGCAAACTTCCCGCAGCTCTGGGTAATCCAACAAGTTACAAAGGAACCTCCACCTCTCGTCGCTTACAATAAACCTTGAGGTCTGGGTCGGCTTCCTCCGCAAACCCGTGCTTCCGCAACTTAATCTTGTAGGAGTTGTCATACTTCCAATCGTACTTCAGGAGTAGGTGAGCGATGATTATCTTTGCCTCACTGGCCGCGAAGAAACGCCCCGGACAGCCGTGCTCCCCATGGCCGAAGCCAAGATGATTGACGCTCGTAGTCACCAGCTGGGCAGCCGCCTCTTGCCCTGGCTTGCCGCTCTCCCGCATACGTAGGAAACGGTAGCCGTCAAACTCATTGGGGTTCTCGTAGAATGCCGGGTCTCTCATTCGTTCAGTCGAGACTGCGACAGTGTGACCCTTTGGGATCTTAGTGCCATCCGACAAAGTGACGTCGGCGGTAGCTTGCCGGAACATTGAGGCTACCGGGTATTCAAAGTTAGAAAAGGTACTATGTGCTGGTACCGAAACGGATCTCGGGGGTTTCCATGACTTACAAATCTGATTGGGCTTGAGACGTTGGCTCTCATTGAGAACACTGTCGAGAAGCTTCATGTTGTAAAGCGCCGTTTTCTTCCAGCCCTCTTTCTCGAGACACGCGGTAATCTCCTCTCTCAGCGGCTCAATCAGCTCGGGGTGCTGAAAAATATCGACCAAGGCCTGCGTGATGAGATCCGATGTAGTGCCGATGGATACGACCGCCAGCATCAGCTGTGATGCCCCGAAGTTGTACGGCTTCCCAGCAGCAAGCTCTTCGAACCAGTAAATAGTGTCGTTGTACTCCTTGCCATCATTCTCAGCGTGCCGCGCCTTCAACTCGGCGGCGACGAGATCCCATGCCTCCTTCACCTGGGCCTTGAGGTCTCTGCATTCGGGGATGTAGTTGGTGACCATGGTCTTGAGAAAACTGGGCCATAGGCGCAGTTTACGCATACCCAAGACGCTGTTTTCGCCATAGTTGACGACAAGGTCGAGCCAGCGCTCGTTGCGGCATAAGTTCTCGCCGACAAATACGCGAGCTGACATTCTTGAAATGAGGCGGATGATCAAGTCTCTAAGAACAATCTCCTGTGATTCTATTTTCGATGTCAGTCTTTGTCTCACTGTCGACCAAAGTAAATGGTCTCGACATATTTGCAGCACCTTTCGTGTCACCGAGAAACTCCTGAAGCGTTACTGCGCATTCATCTGACAAAGGCTGGGTGACCTTGGCTACAGTAGTGTTCTCTTGTTAGTCAGATATTCATCAACAGAATGTGGAGAAAGCACCAGAAACTGACCCAGAGACTTGGTAACACGTAATTTGACCACATTTTGCAGAGGTTTTGTAGGAATGGCGCCCTCCATGAAAGGTTCAAACCCAGGATATCTGGCCTGAAATAGCTGCACAGTGAATCTTGTCAGCAATCCGACACAAAATCCCGTCATCGTTTAAATGGCTTGGGTGACGAAACATTGATATTGCAGGAGCGGTTAGAGGATATGAATTTTGTAGCTTACTTCAATAATAGGCTCATCAACGCTAAAGCGAGGATCGTTGCGGATCTCCTCGCCGTGTTGCGGCAGAAGCATGATGAATTTACCCTGGTCCGTCAAGACGCGAAACGGCGTAGCCCCGAATCTTTGCCTGGCCTCTTCGAGAAGTTCCCGCCCAGCTACGGCAAACGACATTATAGACTCAGAGGCGGTCAACTGAAACCATTTCTGTGGGTTGATGATGGGCAGTTTCTTGGCTTCGTCATTGCGCAGGAAGCCGTACAGTACAACGACCAAGGCAAGGGCTAGAAGAAAATGCGATTGGTAGTCTCTGAAGCCTTCATATTGGCCTGCTACGGCTTGTGTTCTCGAGGTCGCGTTGTAAAGGAGCGTCATTGCTCAAATGTGTGACTTCGAGATGTGGGGACAGTTGTTGACTTGAGTGGTAATGAGATGATAGAGATGGATCTGATGCTGACCTGCTGGGAAACGGATTGACATTTACTACGGAATTGGAAGCATTTATATGGATTACGAGCCCTGCAGATAAGTCTCATCATATGATATGAGTGCCCAAACGGCTAGACATAAAGACAATCAATTTGACCAAACGTTGAACGGACTTTCGGACATAGCCTGGCTCCGCACTGTAACTGAGATTCTACTGAGCAATGATCGATGTTACAGATCATTTCATTGAGGGGCTGAGTGAGTACTAGCATAATGAGCAGGCGTCCGGGCGCCAATCATTTTGCTGGCATTTCACCACAACCCATAAATGGTACCGTGCAGATCATCGTGAAGCCGGTGGGATACTTCAGGTTTAAGAACTGTCTGAGGTGACATGGAAGGTCAGAAAGAGTTTGAAGGAACTTCGGGATTTAGGAAACCGCCGTTCCCTAAAGACTATTCTGAGTTGTAAGGATGCCTGGATTGTCCAAAGTTCGCATACTACTAGAGTATGTAGAGTGCTAATGATGTTGCTCTTGGTAAGGGGGGGGATGCTCACGTAGCCATTAGGGGTTCCCAAACTCCACATCGAATACACTAACTATTTGCACATGCATGCATCACTCTGCTCATAATACGTCATCGATCTTCTCAACATCTCTTCATATTGTAACCGGGTATCTTCCTTATCTTTTCTCCTTACCAAGCGCCTACAATGCCTGCTATGGGGATATCGATACCTGTTGTGTACGAAGCCGTCTCGCTCAACAAGTAGACATAGGCGCCGCCCAGCTCCTGAGGCAGTGCCAGACGCGGCATCCCACCGTAATACTTCATCTTCGTGTCCCAGTCAGGCGAAGTCTCAACGTAGTACGTCAACGCAGTCTTGACGAAGCCAGGCGAGATTGAGTTGACGCGGATGCCATGCTCGGCCCACTCCATGGCCAGCGTATGTGTCATGTTGCGGATGGCACCCTTGGTCGCGCCGTAAGGTGCAGAGGGAGCGGCCTGTAAAGCAAAAAGGCCAGCAAGTCAGTCAGGGAACCCCTCATCTTCCATCATCTCAACCACCACACATGCACACAAGGACTTACCCGGTTCGGTCTGTACGAAGTCATGCTAGCAGTGAAGACGATGCTCCCCTTGCACCCGAGCTTAATAAACGCTCTCGCGGCGGCCGTCGCACAATTCCAAGACCCGTTGACGTTGAGCTTGAAGAGCCGGTCAAACTGCTCCGGCGTGAAGTCGAGCGCGGGCTGGTGCTTGGTCGCGCCGGCGTTGGCGACCATGCCGTCGAAGCGGCCCGTCGCGGCGACCACGGCGTCGACGGCCGCCGCGACGCTGGCGTAGTCCGTCACGTCGCAGTGCTGGAACGCGAGCTTGCCGGGGAACCGCTTGAGCAGGGCGGCGAAGTGCTCCGCCGGCTCGGTGATGTCCAGGCTGTACACGCATGCGGCGTCGTTAGCGAGGCAGACTTCTGCGATGCCTAGGCCGATGCCCTGGTTTGCACCCGAAACTTTTTGTGGACGGCGTTAGTAGGTGAACAACCTCTCTGCTTTGTATCGCACGAGGGCACTTACTTGCGATGACTTTGTCCTTGAGAGAGACCTTCCAGTCAGCGCCGGCTGGAGGCAGTGTGCTGAGATACGCCGGGGCATCGTTTGTACCATTGGTGGTGCCGTTGGTGGGAATTGCGGCGGTCCCGTTGCCGTTGTGGTCAGATGAGCCCGTCATTGCGAAGATGTTGATGTGTGTGATGCGCAGAACAGAAAGATTGAAGCCGGCTTTGATTCAAGTGCAACGACTAACAGAGCTGGTGAATTGACTTGTAGATGGTATCGTAAGCTGAGAGATACAGAACACCTTTCTTTGCCTTAAGTAAACAGAGGAACGGGCGAGGGGAACGTTGTTGAACGCAATACTCGCCGGCGCCGTGGGGTTCCTCGGAGATCGAATACCAGAAGGCTCCCGACACGCGGTCCGGTGCGGATGCAGCTTCCGCATCGGCTGTAGACGGGTCATCGTGTGGTGACTCCGGACCGTGTTGTGTCACCCACACCCGCATGTTCCTCAGCTTGTTACACATACGACAAAGAAACCACGAGCCGGTGTTCGCATTGCATGTTGCAACCCATTCTTGGAAACCCGCTTGCCTCGAGACGCGGTCCTCCTTAGACCTTGGCTAGTTTCGACTATTCCCAGCCCCATTCTTTTTCAATGTCCCCGAGTCGCGGCAGCACGCCCTCCATCTGACTTGCGCTAGTTTGCTAGTTGATTGCTCTTCCGGGGTCTCCCTCCCCCAGACCCCGCAAAATTCGGAAGATTCGTCTGAGGGTCCCCGGTTCCCCAGATTGGGGGAGAAAACATGCCAAATGACTTAGTTCAGATGATCTACGAACCCTCGTTGGTCGTACGACCACCATACGAAACCAGGCTGCCTCTAGACAAGTTGCGTGTAAGCTGGCAAGGGCGGCACGCCGCACTTCAAGACCACCAAGGCAAGTTTTTCATCCAAGCTGACAAGTATTACTCGGACGCTATCGGTAACAAGCCTGTCTACTGCTTCCTCGGCGGAAAGCAATGATGCGAGAGAAAGGGAGACAGTTTTGAAATACTTAAGACACTTTTACTTGCCAGTTGATTTCGTTTGGCTTTCGATTGGCAACTCTAGGCCTCTATTCGGAACTCTGCTTTAATACTTCTCCTATCCGATAGTCCTTTCGAAGGTTTCAAGAGTGTCATTGGGCGTTGTTATCTTTCCAAGACTCCCAATCAACCGACAAAACATCACCAGCGATGGAGAAAAACGAGACTGCAAGCAATGAGCATGAACACGCTCTCTCCAAGGGCGTGGAGCTGGTGGGCGTTGACGACTACGTGCCCGATAGCGACGAAGAAAAGAAGCTGGTCCGCAAAATAGACCTGTACTTGCTTCCTCTAATCTTTATCATGGTTCGTAACATGATCAGAACAACTCTCTTTCAGGCACGCTTCTAACATCGACGATTTATAGTATCTGCTCTCTTACATGGACAGAACAAAGTAAGCTCCTGACCAGCAAAAGCCGTCACCACCAAAAAGGCCCCTGAACTAACAAACATTTCCCTCAAAACAGCATCGGCAACGCCAAAATCGCCGGCATGGACCGCGACCTCGACCTCGACTCCTCCCGCTACTCAGTCGCCCTCGTCGTCTTCTTCGTAGGCTACGTCCTCTTCGAAGTCCCCTCCAACATGATCCTAACCCGCACCCGCCCCTCCCTCTACCTCCCCGGCATCATGTGCCTCTGGGGCTCTGTCACCATCGGCATGGCCTTCACGCCCACCTACAAAGCCCTAATCGGCTTCCGCGTCGTCATGGGCGTCCTCGAATCAGGCTTCGCACCTGGCGTTCTCTTACTGCTCTCGTCGTGGTACAAAAAGGAGGAGCAGAGCAAGAGGTTCGCCGTGTACATCTCGGCCGCCATCTTGTCGGGCGCCTTTGGCGGGTTGTTGGCCGGCTCCATCACGAGCGGGCTTGACGGGGCGCACGGGATCGCCGGGTGGCGGTGGTTATTTGTCGTCGAAGGGGCGGCGACGGTGGGCGCTGCGCTGGTTGCGTTTTTTGCGCTGCCTGATTTCCCGGCGAATACTTCGTTGAAGAAGTTTAACGAAAAGGAGAGGGAGCTTGCGATCCGGAGGCTTCAGAGTGCGACGGAACATCTTAGGACGGAAGAGGAGCCTCGGCTTGGACACTGGGCTGCTTTCAAGCTCAGCATGATGAGTTGGAGGACTTGGCTCTTTGTCGTTGGCTACATGGTAAGTGTTGATCCAATCATCCGTAGACCTACGCCCCTCCCCCTTTTCACGATCAAAAAGTCCAAAGCTAACGCACTTCTCAAACGCAGGCCATCGTCGGCTCCTCAACACTCTCTTACTTCTACCCGACCCTCGTCTCAGGCCTCGGCTACAAATCCACAGCCGCCCAATACATGACCATCCCCATCTTCGGCATCGCCTTCGTCTCCACCGCCGTGACGGGCTACTTCGCCGACCGTCACTCGCGCTTCCGCGGCCTCATCCTCGGCGCCTGGATGACCGTCGCCATGCTCTGCGCCATCATCACCTGCGTCGTCTACGACTTCAAGGCGCGCTACGCCCTGCTTGTTATCATGGCGTCCGGGCTCTGGGCCTCCAACGGACTCGCGCTGTCGTACGCCTCAGTCAGTTTCGGGTCCATGCCCAACGAGACGCGGGCCATTTCGCTGGCGTTTGTGAACGCCATGGGCAACCTGGCGCAGATTTACGGGGCGTACTTATTCCCTTCCAAGGATGCGCCGAAATATCTGATGGGGTTTGGTGTTATTAGTGGGTTGTGTTTTACGGGTGTAGTGTCGTATGTTGCGCTTCACGTTTTTTTGAGAAGAGAGTTGAGGTCGGCATGATTGCTCTCGCGTGGGCTGAGTCGCAATGTAATAGGATGAATTGAAACATGTCTAGAGAGATTCTACTCTCCGTAGAACTAAACCACTGGTTTAAAGTTTGACGTTACACAAAAGCAACTGAAAGTGCTTTGTTTCATACGGAATTGAGCCACGCTGAGACAGCAGACAACATAGCCGACCTATAGGGTGCAAGACCATCTAGGTTGTCTACCTGGCATGGAAGCTCAAAGAAAGATGCATGTCATACTGCCACGAGCACTACCAAAAAAGACGGGTCCGTGTTCAACTCCATGGCGTCGTCAAATCAGCCGTCGTAGCCAGACCAACCGTATCCGTATCCGAGTCCATCGTCTTCTTCACGCGGACTTTCCTTCAAAAAATGAGTATCCCTCTCCTTGTATCCATTCACTACATTCATCATGTCTCATTCTACGTCTGCCAATGTATGTTACATGATGAACACAAGGCAGAGAGAGCGAGAGGATCTCTGCGATTCACATCTGGTTTACCTCGGCACCCCGCTAGGACAGTACCGGATGGTCGCACGCGGTGAACCGATGGTTACCTTAGACTGAGATAGAAAACCGCATCTCCGCCCTGGCCCGCATGGCGCCGTGCTTGATAGAAGCCGTCTACAAGCTCCACCGTTCCATCATCAAGCAAATCCTCAATGCTGACTTTATTTACAACCGCCAGGCCAGTCTCGCAGTCGGGCTGAGTACGAAGACGGACGTCCACTTTAGCCGATGGCATTCCGTCGAAACCACTGGAGACCGAGCCAATTGGTAAGCAGGCTGCGGGAAATTCAGACTTTGTTTTGGGATTGCGAACGGTTTCTTGCTTTGTGATCTCTCGCTCTCCGTTGTTCATGACCTACAGTAACGACAAAATGTACGCCAAGAAAATCCTCGTTGAGGATATAGACATCCTCAGGAATATGATGGTCAGGCCGAGCAGTGGCTATTTGGGTCTTCGCTATCTGTTACACATAGGAAAATACCCTAGCGGCAAGGTATTTTGCCACATCCTTGGCTACTAGGAAGCCTCCTTGAAAGTATGACTCGAATATGGAGGAGCACACGCTCTTTTCACTTGCATCGGCTTTGTTGCCACAAGGCTGAAAGGAATATGGACGAAAACCACAATTTCTACTCCGTAGCTCTACGATTCAAGGTTGATGATGCACATCTGATAAGGCATGGTACCTATGGAAACCCACGAACTTTGAAAGCCAACACAACTTGAATCCCCAAGGGAATTACTTGGTCTTTTTCAGTTCCTCCAGCGCGAGCTTCGAGTTCAAAATGTTTTTGGTGAGAATCTCGCGTCTATCCCGCGTCGCTGCATTCTCTCCGGCAATCAACTTAAGCTGCGTGTCATCTAGGCTCATGATCAGATCAGGTGTGAAAATCTTGAGAGGGCTGGTCTTGGAATCGAGCAAGAAGTGAAATATGACCTGCTGCAGCACAATATCAACGAATCGCCTCCGAGCGACCATGTAGTAGCTACGGAGGGCGTCGTGAATATCCTCTCTGACCTGCTCAGCGTTGTAACGATCGGTTGTAAGCTTGGAGAGCATTGATTTTGGCACCCACCAGCCTGCAGCTCCGGAAGACCCGTCTTCTTGCTGAGAAGTAAAATCGAAGGGACTTCCGTTGTTGTTGTTCGCTCCCAGCGTGTTTCCTCCAGAAGCAGGACTTACGTTTGGGCTCGGGTTGCTTGCAGTAGCGCCATCGACGTTTCGGACGCTCTCAGGGCCAATGACCTTGTTGATCGCTTGCTGAAGTCTGGCGGCCTGTGAAACTTGAAGATCGCTGTCGAAGTAGTGGTTCATGGTGTAAGGCTGTCCACTAAGCTCGACTTCAAGGAGGAACTGAGCATGATCCAAAGCTCGCTGATAAGCTGCACGGAGCTTGGGCAACAGAAGGTGGTTATGCAACATCTCAAAAGTGTTGCTGTCGCCGTCACATTTGCGTTGCAGTGTTATGCGAATGAACTTGTGAACGACTACGATCACCTGACTAACATGTTTCAAAACCAGGGGCTCCCACTTCTGGGTCTGCTCCTTGAAGGCCTGTGCTAGCAATGAGCCTGGAAACTAGACTTTTGTCAATGCTGAGCATGATTTGTTGTCAGAATAGTACTCACCGAGCCGATCTCGGCATTGCGAGATCGGTGAAAAAGAAATTCAATACGGCTCAAAAGTAAGCCTTCTACTGGCTTGGGACATTCAAAATCCATATGCTTCAGGATATCAACGAGACAACGGGTTGACTGCACGTCCATAGGTACTTTGAATGCAGGACCAGGACCGACCTTCTCCTAGCTTTGGCCGTCAAACTCATGTGTATGGCCACACGACGTGAAGACCTTATTGAATGTCTCATTCAGATTGATGATGCATGTGATGAGTCGAAAGTGTACGTCGTGGTGGAATATGTCCATTCCGATGTAATTTCCGTCCCGAGCTCGAAGACAGACCTCTTGGAAACCTGACGCAATCTGGCTAAGGTATCGTCGCTGAGCATCCGGCCGAGGTCGTGAAGGACCTAGGCGTTTGAGTAAAGTCTCAGTGTTATTGAGTCGACGACGTATATCGGCCTCGACGTTCTTATGTTCCTTCTTGGAAAGGTCGCCCAGCAAGTCACGCAGACGGAGCGCGAGGCCGCTAACACCAACCCGAAATGTCGATCTGATTCTGATCCACGGACGAGCAGAGAAGAACGCCTTCTCCAATGAGTTTGGATCTGTCGTCGTTGAGGCTTCTTCATCGCCGCTGCGATTCTTCACTACGCAGTATCCGAGGCGGAGAGGATGGCGTCTGCCCTCAACAAGTTCGCATACAATCCGCTGAGTGACGCGCTCTGTAGCAAGGTCGGGCTTGGTGAGAACAACCATAGTTCGAAGCCCCTCTGGATCGACTTCTTTGGCAAGGGTGAGAGCCTCCTGGGTTGATGTGTCGACATTGCAAGGGATAACTGCCAGAATGATGGTACGCTGATCTTGAATATATCTGTTGACTATGCCTCGGACGATAGCAATGTCACTGTCGGTAGTCAGGCCCTTTGTAGATGTACGGAAAATACCCGGGACATCGATGATGGTCAAGTGATGTTGCTGATGTTCCAAAGTCAGCAAGTTTCGTAAATAGACAACGTCAGACTCGAACGTACGTCCGGGCTGCTGATCTCAATCTTGAGAATGTCTTCAGCAAATGTCGGTAGCTTGGAAGCATCCCCATCGTTGATACTGCGAAGTGCCATGGCTTCGGTTCGCCTGAGGGAAGTCGTAATTATCAGCATCAAAACATTGCACTCCCAATGCGAGTCTGACTTACCTTCGCAAAGACATCCGCCAACACGAGGTCATTCTTCTCGACAGAGAACCCAAATTCCTTCAGTCGTTCCTTCCGATCCTTGTCGGAATTCTGGCTCGGAATGATAGAGATCTGGACGCTCTCGGAGGCATCGCGGCGACAAGTGATTTGGGTCGCGTAACGGGTGCAGAGCTCAGGACCGCGGGGGAAGGCGAAACCCGTCACGCTCTTCAGGACAGAACTCTTACCCGAAGACTGGTCACTAACCGCGACAATTTGCGGAAAGGGAATGAGGTCGGCGATGCCGAGGTCGCGGAGTTTGTCAATAGTTCGCAAGTAGGCATCGTCGCGGAGCCACACACGGGCAGGGTTGCCGTCGTTGTGGTTGTCTGCCATGCTCGTTCTCTCTGCGTGGGTTGTCTCTGATATCAGGGAACTCGATTAGTAAGTACCGAACAATGGAGGTGATGGGCTAGTAAACAAAAGCATGGGGGTACGAGGAATAAACTCGAGACAATGTTGGGTAGTTGGCGGAGGAAAATGGATTGTGTTGCCGTGGTTGATGAGGACAAGTTGAGTCTTCGAGCTTCGTGGGGGCCAGAAGAGAACAAGATCGAGGTAGGCAAGCACCTGCTGCCCAAAGTGAAGGGAGTAGATAGAGGCGTGCCTTCCAGGTCGGGTCGACAATTGTGTGAGAACCAAGGGCGGTTCCCTCAGGGTCGCGAAGAGTTGACCCTTGCCACCGTGCCCCTACTGCCGGCAAGATGTGAGAAGGTCGGACAAAAAAAAAGGCCATGAAGATGCATCTTTTCTAAGGTACTGCTTACTCGCTTTATTGGTGTACTTGAAAGCCTGGAGCAGGCAACAGTCTTCTGTGCCTGCCTTTCAAAGTTAAGTAAAAGAAAAGACAGCCTTTGCCCCTTGACTCCCCACCAAGAGACTTGCTCTCACAGTAAGTTAGCGGATTCCAGTGGCACTGGAGATGATTGACCATGCCACAACTTCGGGTCTATCGTCACATGGTCGGTTCAGAGTACTTATTGCAGCAGCGTGTGCAAGTCTCAAAGATCTCGCGGCAAGACTGACAAGTGGGCTGTCGATATAAAGTGACATTGCTGATGCTGATCTACTCAAGCCCTGATTGCTCGTTGGCATCGCTACTGAATATGCTACACAATAAAACATAGAAATGAGAAGACACGTTGTGTCGTGCCGTAACCTGACTTGCTGCGCTTTTCCGCCTCCCGTTCCTAGGGTATTTTCTCAACCGGATGTTGGCTTCTTCTTGTCCATGACGCCCTTCAACACCTTAAGCTTCTCTTCCGTCACCTTGATCGCCTCTTCGATCTCACGCTCATCCATACGGTCCTCTCTGACCCTCTCCTCCACAGTGCTTGGCTCCATTGCTCGCTTCCGAATGGGCAGGCTACCTTCGTGCAAGCGCTCCAACCCAACTCTCTCCTCCAGCCACTCCCAGAGTTCACTCTCTTCGCGCCTCCACATTTCGTCGTACGCTGCAAGACGGTCCGGATAGCCGTACATGCGCATGTCTCCAGACGCTTGTCTGCCAGGCAGGCCAAAGCCAAACCACGTCGCAACGAGGAGCCCGACAAGCAGACCATACATCATATTGCCTGTGAGTAGTGGCTTGGCAATGTCCAGGATTGGCTCGAGAATGCCTCGGACGGGCTCCAACGGGCCCCAGTTTGTCTTGGGAACATGCCTGGGACGAACCTGCTCGTCTTCAGCGTCTGTTGTTGAGCCAGCCGCCTTGCTCTTCTTGCTCTTCTTCTTGCCCTTGGGGCCTGATCCCGCTCCCGCACCGCCAGCGCGGGCTTTGGTAGATACAGCTGATTTCAGACTAGCAAAGAGGTCTTTGCAGTACTGAGTCTGGCCGTCATTGGCTCCCTTTTCGATAGGACCTTCATCATGTTAGCTCATGCCATTGATGTAGAGAACAGGTTCAACTCACCCTTCAACCAACTCTTGCCCGTCCATTCAATGGTGCAGTTGGATTGCACTCTGGTAGAGTTGTTATCGGCCCACGTAAGACAGTACTTTGTCTTGACGCTGAAAATGTTGCCGTTCGGCACATCTGGGGTTTGCGTAGTGACGCTAAAGTTGATGGCTTTCTCAAAATCAAGATGATCCAGAGTCTCCGTCACAAGACATTTTGTCTGCTTCGGACCGATGGCGCCATTGAGAGGCTTGATGTAAGTGAAATACCGAGACTTGTTGTCGAGAGTCAGACCCTTCTTATCCTCCATGGTCAATTCTGTGCACTTGGCCTCGACAGTGAGCCATTTCGTCATCCAGGTGACCGAGGCTGGGCCGAAGAGCAAGTTGTACACCTTGCCCAGAGGCGCAGGGATAACATCATCGCCGACAACCCTGTCGTAATGCGTGTCAGAGTCACCGCAGTCGGTCGGCGCATGAGTGGCCGGGCCAGGGAAATCATTGCCGCCAGGAGCAGCACCAACAGCCTCCTTCACGACGTCGGCGACAGCGCCATTAGCACCCGCGCCAGATACCTTGCGAGATACGGTCTTCCCGCCTTCGGGTTCAGCATTCACTTCTGACAATTGCGTGACATCTTGCAAGTCCTCCGCATCGTCGTCTTCGTCGTAAACGTCGTCGTCATCGCCAGAATCACTCTCTTCATCGGTGCCGGACAAACTACCATCATCAACATCTGCTACCACAGCACTATTCGCGTCAACCTTTTCTGTCTTATCACCGCCAGTACCCTCGAGCTGCACTCCGTTCAGCGAGCTTTGCAGGGTCGGGTGACCAAGTTTCCAAATATTGACAATCAGGTCGTAAGTCGAGTCTCGGCTGGTGAAACTGGCGAAAATATGCTTGGCATGCAGGGTCGTGATCATGAGTCCGTTCTTGAAAACCAGGGCCGTGCTGCGCTTCTCGACGCTCACTATTTCGTCAAAGCTCATGACAAGCGTGGTCGACCAGCCGAGGATGTTGCTGCTAAAGCACAAGTGGCCTTCGGATACGTACAGGCGGCCGTGCGCCAGGATCTCGCGCTGCAACGCACAGCTGTAGTCTTCGATGAGGTAATCGTCGTCGGGCACGCTCTTGAAAAATCCATGGAAATCTCGATTGCGCTTCTTGCTCGCAACCGCGAATCCCGTAAGTTTCGGTACGCTCGCGTTGGCTTGAGGGTGAGCAAGAGACGCGTTAGCCGCAGCAATGGCAGCGCCAATAGTAGTAGCCGTACCTCCCGACACAGCTGAGCTTCCTCGCTTGCGATGGCGTCCAATGGCGCTTCGAATACTTCCACTTCGTTGAACTCCTGAAATCTTGTCCTCATGTATGCTGCCCTGAGGAGGGGTTCGGTCGCCAGCGCTTCCTGGATCGTACAGTGATTGGGGTCTCGCCGCGTTTCGGCCGTCATCTACTCCAAGGTCCCGCGTAGCAGCGGCATAGGCAGCGTCTGTCGGGGCTGACTCGCTTCTAGCTCGTGCGTCCGATTCGGGGAATTTTGCTGTAATGGGCGTTCCTGCATTGCTGGCTGTGTCCATTATACCTAATTGACTGAGGCTTAGCTCGCCCGACCCAATAGTCTTGACTGCTGGCTCTTTCTCCATGGTGGAGCCTGTTGCGGATGGAGGTGGCGGCTCGACCTCGGGTTGCTCGTCAATCTTGATATCGGGGGGTTTAGCTACGTTCTTGTTCTTGGGAGGGGTCGGTCCTATGCCGGTATTCTGAATGGTACTTGTGAGCGAGGTCGCGGCGTTTTGCGCAGCCGAAAAGACGGATGAAAAGAAGCCGCTTCCGCCAGATGGAGTTCCTGGGTTGCTTGCGGTCCCGTTTTCGGGGGTGGGCGTCAAAGGCGCGAGGGTTATGTTGGACAATTTGCTAGGCCCTATACTTCCAGATCCTGATCTACCCCTGCGGTGAGCAAGCATAGTACCCGTGGCAGAACCACCATTCGTGTTGCCTGAGGCAGTGACAGAAACCTCGGGAGCGGGCTGCGGAGCTGGGGCCGGTGGAGGAGATTGAGCGTAGGGTGCGTTGTGGTCGGTCGGTGTCGGAGGGGTATTGACGATGACGGGTGTCTTGTCGGCGTTGGGCGGGGTTTGGGGTACGAAAGAGGTGTCGATTCGAGATGTGTTCGTGGAGGCCCTGGAGCGACGTCGCTCAGGAGAATGCGTTGTTGATTGTTTTACGCGAGATGCATCTGCGTCGCTCGTCGCATTCGGTTGTGGCGCGGTCGAATTGTCTAGAAACGGCTTTGTGGTTGTGGTGAGGTCAGAGGTGGAAGCAGTGGCTCTGCCTCGGTCTCTTGTTCTCCGCGTGTCTCGGTCGTGATCGGGGGTTTCGTCACCGCCCAGGGACCGTTCAGGGCTTGTGGCGGCGCTGGGAGTCTTTTTTGACTTTGTAAAAACACCTTTGAGACGGCCAACGGGGGATGGCGATCTCGTGGTGTTTTTCTTGGGTGGCACAAGACTTGTGAAACTACGTTTGGAGCGCAGAGACGAATCTGTCGAAGACTCGACGGATTGCGTCCGCTTGGCAGAGGAGAGAGTGGATCGCGCCGAGGCGATCTGGGAGAGTTGGTCGTCCAGTATCTGCGGTTGGGGTTCAGGCAAATGGGTTGCCTGAACGATAGGGGAAGAAGTGGTCAAGTAACCTATTTGCGAGGGATGTGTCGATATGGCACTTGGTCGAGAGTGCTGAGAAAGAGATCTAATGAGAGGGGGCGGAAATCGTCGTGGTTAGATACTTGGTATTGTACGGATGGTTACATGGAGAGGCGAAACAGTAGGAGGTGGTCGGGGGGGAACATGGACGACCCTGACCCCGTTTGTTCGCACTCGCTTGAAATGGAACATTCGTCAGGGACACGAGTTAAATGTGCTGAAGGGACCCCCAGGCAGCTGTCATACGGCGATTGCCGCAGAGAGTGGATGAGGGGGAGCTGAGACCCATGGGCCACGGAGCAAGAGAGGAGAGGAGAGCGCATCAGCCCCCCTCCTCTCCTAGTTCTCCTAGTCTCCCAGTCCCAGAACCCCCCGGACCAGTGAGAACTGTCAGACCAAGGATTGCCAGAGCAGCCTACTACGGACGCTAAGCCCGCTGTCCTTTCTCTGTCTCCCCACTTGATATGCACAAAAGAGAGACGGCGCCGTTGCGGGTTGTGCCAGCAGACTGGGGCCGAGTTGCGTAGCACCCGCAGTAATAGCAGCTAGGTACTATTCGTAGCTCGCCTCGTCATTCGATGGAGACGCCAGTGACGACTCTGAACGATGGGGAGGAATGCGCCACGCGAAAAGACGTGGCCTTGTGAGGTGGTGGTGAAGAGCACGGAACCAGTGCGCTCGGATGCATACATATGTAAGGTGGTGGGAAGATTGAAGGATGAGGGTGCAGAGAAGCCA